TTAAAATGTAATTTATTCCTGTTATGCAAAGCTGTTATGTTTTCATATTTTTTAAAATAATGTTTGATTATTAATATAATACATTTTATTTTATATACTTTTATATATGATTTATTTTATATTATTTTTATTATATAAATTAATTATTACATAAATCACTTTTTAATTTTAATTTCTAGGAGTGAGAGAGAGAGAGAGAGAGAGAGAGAAAAAACAATTTCTTATTACCACATTTTTACCACTTATTATTATCAATATTGAAAACGGTTGTGCTGCTCAATATTTTTGGGGAAACCAAAGTTTAAATGAACAGCATTTATTTGAAATAGAAATATTTGTAACATTATAAATGTGTTAACTGACAATGCATTCTTGCTGAAAAAATTTAATTTATTTCAAATACAAAAATCTTAACATACTGAAATAAAAAAGATATATATATAAAATACACACAAATGTAAAATGTATTTTTATATTTATATATAAAATATATAAAAATAAATTCAATAAATAATGTCATTAAATAAATACAATCAAAGTTTAAGGCTGAGTGTGTGTGTGTGTGCGTGTGTGTGTCTGTCAGTCACGTCCAAATGAGTGTTTATCAGCGCTAGAGACACATCACTCTCATGAGACAAAAAGCAATACTGCTGCAAACAGCCATGCTGAGTCCAATAACAATATGCAATTAGTTTAGAACCAAAACAGCTTTGTTTTGAAAAAAGACGATTTTTGAGGCAATGATTGCTATTGTTCAGATTTTTCATATTTTTAAATTACTGCCATGAAAAAAAAGAAGAAGAAGAATTAAAATGATTGGTCCCTCTAACTTTTATTGCTATGGCAACACCGCAGGCCAAAGCCCATCAAGAGCGCTGTGTAGAATTCCTCAACCACACAAACACTCGACCGTGTGAAAACTGCTGCCAGTCAGATGAAAAATAATAACAGACCATATGCATCAAAACTAATCCAAAGATGAGCCTTATTCTATTCATATGACAATGTGCCTTATTTCTTTTTAATTAATAAAAAATAATTATATGTCAATTTGTTGATGTCTGAGCAAGTATTTGGGTGTATTTTAGACCTCAGACATTCCTCTGAGGCTTAAAATATTAAACATCATAAGCAAGATCTAATAAAGTAAATATTACTCCTCCAAAGCGACTGCTTTAATTCCTAATGAATTATTCACTGTCCTTGCAGCTATATGCTCTGAAAGAGACGACGACAGCATCCAGCAGTTCAGAAACCCTTCATTTCACATTCCGACCAGCAGAACTGTCTCTACCTCAGGTTCAGCCCAGATCTGATCCGCTTCCGTCAGTCCGGGGCGGATCGGGACAAAGATGTGAGGGGAGAGAGAGACTGACAGACAGGGTAAGAGGGCTGTGACACTAGATTGGCTGGTGATTGTGTTGTGCCGTACGCTCTGCGCTGTCTTTTTTATGCCAGCATCAGTATTCAGCACACAACCTACTAAACACAGCAAATGGGGCTTCAGAAGACTGACAGGACTGAGTCTGCCGCCACACGGAGCTCAATTACCCTCAGAACGAGGCGACGTCTCCAGAGTCTTCTTCACCGACACGCTCTCTCAGTCTCCTTCGGTTCATTTGTGTCCTTTCCCACATCCTTTTTGGTTCACTTTTTTCCTATTTCTAAAACATATTATATTCTTTGACTTAATAATTGAATACCTTTTAAAACATGTATAATGAGGACGTAACAGTCACACCAACCTTATATATATTACTATAAATAGATAATTGTATAAATAATTTAATAATTGTAAAAATAAATGGTTTAATAAAAAATATTTACATTATTAAAATATTTTTGATTTTTTGATTTTTTTATGGTAACCCAGAATTTTTACATGACTACTTTCCCCCTCTCATTTTCACTACCTTTTGGAACCTTTAAAACCTCTATATGTAAATTACCTATGTTATGAATTGGCTAATAATAAAGTATATTTATTTCCTCATGGTTCTGACATCATATCAGGATTAACCAGCGACATACAGTAGTCTCAGAAAATCTCTATTTCCATTATGTCCTTTTAAGCAAAACCTTAATATTCAGAGTTCAGTGGTGTCAGATGATTGTCTAATGATTCATGGTGGTGCTTAATGAATATTAATATGCAGTAACCTTTGGCATGGGGAGAGGAACAACACATTGTATTTGGAGGCGTACAGGTGTCGTGCTGAGCTGACAGCCACTGGCAGAATAAGGAACAAGCTCCTCTCAGCATGAGCACAAGCCATTAGCACTCGCTGCTCATCAATCTCCAGACCAAACTAGAACCTGTGCATCTGCAGTATTTTTTAAATTAGCCAAAACATGGCTTTTCAGGAAACAGGATGGTGCCCCTTTAGGACAAAACAGCTAGAAACATAATTAATATTCAAACATTTAAAATTTGAATGTGCAGAAACTAACTTGATTTGTTTTGCTAGTCACTACAAGTGGTGTTTGACTTTATACTGATACCTGCATCTGCATAAATGGAGCATCAGTTTCATTGTAGAAATGCAGTAACTACTGAAAGTGAGCAAGTACTTCAAAAATCTGAAAAGAAAAATATTTTATGAAAATATATAAATATAAATGTGTGTGTGTATGTATGTATGTATGCTAACATAGTCAGAGCTGTCACTTCATCCAGCCATTCATTCAGCTGTTTAATATTCCTGTCAAGAGCTCTGAACCGTCCAACCTCATGCAGAACTCAGAGAAACCACCGAATGAACCTGTGGGCGCACAGGTAACCCGCCAGCAGATACAGCCGCTCTGATGTCCTTTACTACTGACCATATTGTTGAAATGGCCTGATTTTCAGCTATCGCTACTGCCTTTTGTTATTAAACATACTGTTTGTTTGTCTCTCAGATGGAAAGGGATTCCTATGATTTGCTGTCACATGACGCTCTCTCAAAGATACTGCCAGTGTATCTTCACCTCCTCAAAAAGCCTAAAACTCAGACCAGGACAGAATCTGTACCACAGAAAAAGTCTCAGCTCAACCGAACATTTGATGTTCATTCACCTCTCAAAAGGTAAATGAGTATCGCATGATGTTTACTACACTCATCAACAGTTTTTGGCTTTGATTCGAACCTACTGTAATTACATTTATTTGTTGTGCAGGTGAAGTCACTGAACATCAAACTAAAGTGAGTAACAAAACTGTAGATTTCTATTATGTCTGTTACTGCTAGAAGTTTCCCAGAAGTTCTGCGTTTCCTCAGAAAGACTTTCATTCTTCAGAACCAGACTTTTAGCTACTGGCATAAAATCTGGTTCACTCTCCATCTTAAAAGAATAGTTCACCTAAAAGTGAAAATGTATTCACCCTCAGGCCATCCAAGATGTAGATGAGTTTGTTTCTTCATCAGAACAGATTTGGAGAAATGTAGCATTGCATCAGTTGCTCACCAGTGGATCCTCTGCAGTGAATGGGTGCCGTCAGAACGAGAGTCCAAACAGCTGATAAAAACATCACAATAATCCACAAGTAATCCACACCACTCCAGTCCATCAGTTAATGTCTTGTGAAGCGAAAACATGCGTGTAAGAAAACAAATCCATCATTAAGATGTTTTTAACTTCAAACATCCAAAATATGGCCAGAAGTGTTGTCATCTCACATCAAAATCTACTGACATATTTGTTTAGAACTGTTTTGGACTGTTTTCACCTGTAAACAGTGCTTGATCTGTGCATAGTTCTCTCCTGATTCAGACAAGATTACTTTTTCGCTAGAGAAAGCAATATTATAGATAGAGGACTCATATTTTAACCAGAAGCAATGGTTTGAAGTTAAAAACGTCTTAATGATGAATTTGCTTGTTACAAACACACAGCTTTTCGCTTCACAAGACATTAACTGATGGACTGGAGTGGTGTGGATTACTTGTGGATTATTGTGATGTTTTTATCAGCTGTTTGGACTCTTATTTTGACGGCACCCATTCACTGCAGAGCATCCACTGGTGAGCAAGTGATGTAATACATTTCTCCAAATCTATTTCAGTGAAGAAACAAACTCATCTACATCTTGGATGTCCAGAGGGTGAGTTCATTTTCAGAAAATTTTCATTTTTGAGTGAACTATTCCTTTTAGCCCAGAGTATCCCTCACTTTTGACGTGAATACAGCGAATGCGTAATGCTATATGCATAGCCCTTCAAAGTATAATCCATTCAATAGCGTGCACAGACATATGTGCTAGACACATGAGCATTAGAAAGATTCTTGTTCAGAGTTTGCGCTGTTTCTCTCCAGAAGTCATGAGCGATAAAAATGGCTTTGTACTCATTTAAATTAGAGAATAACAAGAATCTCTTAACTGATTCACACAAGCACTCGTCAACGCAGGCGTCTATTGTTGTTGCATCTCCTGTAGTTTTTGTTGTTCTATCTCTTTTGTTGCTATTTTGACTGCAAAACAGTAGGCCACTAACTAACTAACTAATTAGTGCAAGGCACGTATGCGAGCTGAGAGTAAAGAGTATGCGCACTTAGAAAAATCGGGCTGCACATGTAACTGTGCTGCTGCTGATATTTATGTCATATCCTAGCGTACACATAAAAAAGTATACTTTATTCTGTAGTTATTCTTAATTAATTTTCACACAACAGAAATTCAAATTAAATCCCTGAGGACCATCTCAAGATGACCTTTATATATCTGCAGTGTTCATCCTACAGTATGAACGTTTGATGAAATGGAAGGACTATATTGGCTTTTCTTTTCTCATCATGACTGAATCACCGCAAAGCATCCCGCAGAGAAACAAAGAGAGAGAGAGGCAGGCCGGCCCATATGTGCTTTTATAATGTGATTGTTCGGAGCAACAATACAGACTACGGAGGGCATGCGGGGACCAATCTCTCTCTCCATTCACTCTTTCATTGGGTTGAGATGATTCCCTCCGTCTCGTCCCCTCCGCGGGCCCCATCTCATCACCGATCATCATTCTCACCTTGCATGGTGTGCCCTTTCAATTAAGCGCTCAATTTCTTTCAGACGACCCCAGGGAACCACAAGCACACTGGCCCAGATTGGAATCGCCTAATCGGTCCCTCTCCCGCCCCTCGCGTTTCTACACACCCGACCCCCCATGTGTCTCTCCGACGGACCCCCTTCCTGAATACAGTGACCCTGAGTGAAAAGCAGACGCCTCGTGGCATGTTACATGACGTACGACATACGACTATCACAATAGCACACAAGGATGCCTGGAAGTGTGGCACATCCCACAATGCCCCTGGTCTGCTGTTTGTTTAGGACAATGCTAATGTCTCAATGCAACTGTTCAGTGCTATAGAATGAACTATTCTAAATAAAGACATGTCGACAAATTTAGATATGCCAAAATGACCCATTCATCCTAATTGTGAGTACCCTTGTTAAAAAGAGTACTTATTATGGAATAAATATACTTAAAGTGTGAACTGAATGTAATGTTTTCAGGCACTTAATTGCATGTTAATTGAAATGGCATAACATGTATTAGAGTTTAAATTTATATTAAATGCAATTAGTTGTACTTAAGAGTGTTTTTTATATACTTAAGTTGAACTTAAGTACATCTTTACTTTATTGTCTTAGAAATATTGTTTATATACATTTATAGTAAATTAAAATATACTTTCATGTCATTTCTGTTTAAACGTGTATGTCATGTATTTATTATAAAACTAACACTTTAAATGATAATCAGTGTGCTTTAGTATGTTAGTAAACCAATCAAATTAAGTTTACTTCTTTAAAGCACAATAAAAGATAAGTAAAACTTTTGCTTTGACATTTACAGGGTGCACTTTTTAAAAGTGTACTTAAGTGTGTTAGGAAATATACTTAAGCGTGTCATGAAAATGTGTCTCTTTAAGTACACTTAAGTAGTCTTTTATTTAATTAATATTATATTATATGCAAGTACGATCTTTTTAAAATATACTTTTAAGATTTGAAGTACACTACAAGTACACATTCAATACAATTACTTATTTTTCACAAGGGTATATGACTGTGACTCTATGATTTTAGCTCTATCTAGCTTTATTTTAGGTGATATGTCTGCCTGCACATTTTGATCATTGTCCAGCAGTTTCAGAAAAGAGATTCTGGGGGAAAAAATACCTTTCACTTGGTGGATTTCATCCAAATCCCGTCTATATCCTCTGTGTACCACTTGGGCTTCAGTATTTGCCAGAAACTACAGTCCCAGGATTGATTACTTTGTACTAGCGCTATAGTGAAGCCTTTTCAGCCTGACTGATAGTAGGACAGCGGCTGTTTTAACCCAACCACTCTTTAAAAGTGACAGTTTTAGGCTATTTGTCTTGCCTTTTAAAATGATTAAATGGTTTAAGCAAAGCATTCCAATGAATGTTAATTAGGCAGATTGTCGAGTTCAGTCAAATGTCGCATCCAAACAGACTGATGTTAATCCTGTTTTGGCGAGGTGAAGCCCTCAGCATCTCGACTGGACATGTGACTTTGATTCCATCTAGTGGCGGCAAACTGCAGGGTGGCGCCATATTTAATTTTTTTTTTTTTTTTTTTTTTTTAAAGGGAAGAAGAATTGGTTTTTTTTTTTTGAAAAAGTTAGTT